ACTGTACAGCAAAATCATTCGGTTGATAAATTATAGACATTTCTCATTCAAACCATACAGTTTTTTAGCGACACAGATTTTAGACACCAATTAGTCGCTATTGTCTTTTCTTGAATTATTTTTAAGAACAGTCACTTTTAAGAAATCTGTAACTAATGGGAAAATTTTGGACTTGCAATAAACTTTTTTTTCAATTACTGTTCGAATTTACCATCAGTTCTATAAAGGTCGCATAATCTAAGCATTAAACTGGTGCCAACAAGAAAAAAAAAGAGCAAATTAACAAGAATGTCTTATATGGAACAACTGGAAAATGGATGAAAAAATGAAAATAAAAATCAGTCTTGCCCCTATAAACTTTTTTTTATTAAGATAGGAAAGTTTCATTCTTGAAAGCCGTTACAAACAGAGGTTAAATTTAGATTTCTTTGAAATTATAAAATAATTATACAGTCACCTGCTGAGGGAAAGACAATAATGGAGCAATAAAGTCGTTAAAAAACTGTGCGCTTTTTTTTGATTTCTTAAACTTTAATGCTCGTTAGTACATCAAAGCAGCATAGTGCCTGACAGATTTAAGTTCAGCGACAAGTTCTTACTTTTGACAATAGTGGAATTGAATTTTAAAATCATGGTTAAAAAATTACAAAGAACAAACCACCACTTTCTTGTAGGGCCTTCTTTGCATTATTGACTACAAATTAACATTATGTCCCTTACGATAGACAGCAGCACTCTTCCGATTTATTTCATCGGTTAAACAATAATAATCTTCAAAATATTCATTCGTTTTGACATTTCAGGCAATTACCAAAAGCTTGCTGTTTGCCGGCCGAGAACTGGCAGTAAAGCTTTTCAAAGCCAACTGTGTAGAGCCTTTTCAGTCACAGAAACAAAAATGTGTTGACGTTTACTTGACTGCAAGTGAAAAGAAGTACTTATTTTTAGAGCTATATCTGCTTGGCTTTTCCTTACAACCAGTCCTTTTTATACAGATGCTATTTCATTTTGAGAACAATTTTCTCGTCAACATTTTGATCTATTATTAAATTCTTTCCAATGACATCTTAAGACAAATTGAAGAGATAATGAGCAGCTATCATAATTGGTTTCCCACCAAATATTACAGTCATTGACTCACTCTAACCTGCACTGCTGATAAAATAGCTCCAACTACTCACTAGCGCTAAATTTTTTCACACAACTTTTCTCCCAAGTTCTGAACTGCTTGACAAGCAAAGAAAAAGCAGAAGCAAAAAGATGAATAAAAAAATTTGAAAAAAAGAAAAAAAAAAACGAAAAAGCAGTAAATAATTGCTCAGACCTGAAATAAGGATTTACTAACAGTTTTTTAATTTCTACTCTGATACTTCCAAAATTACAATTCACTTATCCAACTTTCCGTTGAAAATTTTGCATATAACATCTGCACTACTAAATAATCTGAATCCAAACCGTTGCGTAGTAATCTACAAGCACCGAGAATTCAAACGTCCTGCATAAAGAGAGTGTTCTACTGCACATTTCTGATCATTTATCTAAAAATTCGTTAGACAAACTTTTGTAAAAGTGTCATCATTTTTAGGACCCGATTATGATTTCCAGACCATATATACCAAACATCTCAAGTTG